AGACTGTCTGAATGCACCACTGCAGAAATAATGTACCCCGTCATCTCGCTTCACACACACATCACCCGAATCTTGAGCGGAGCACAGGAAGAGCAGCAGAGTTTTATCCACCACCAACACTTTGATCGAAGACTGAACTACAGAAACCTCAACCTTCATTTGCTCGTGACTCATTGCGAAAGTCGACAGAAGAAACGATGAATCATCACTGAGGTTTCTACCTTTAATCATATAAAAATAATGCAGAAATCGATTGATTGAGAAAGTAATGACTGGATTTCTAGGTATACATTATTGTACAGGGGCGTCTTCGTTGAGGCGGCATGCGAAAAAAAAGCAGTGGGTTTTTACCTTTTTTTTTTATTGTTCAATTGCTGAATTACTACACTACCCATAATCCCAAAGTGTAATCAACCAATCAGAGAAGTCACATGTAAAATGGAAATGAGAAAGCAGGGTCATGGTGAGTTTTTGCAGGCTAGCGCAGGCCAGCTAAGCTGTGTTAGCTAAAGTTAGCTAGTCACATAGCAACCTAGCTATCTAAAGTTAATTGGTATAAATATGGTATGAAGTACTGTAGGGTCTGATATAAAAACACGTTAAAAAGACCCCAAAACTGACCCAGAAACCCCAAGTGCAATGATTTATTGTAGTATCTGTAGTAGTTTTTAACGGTTTAAAAAAAAGAAAAGAAAAACATTTTTACTGTAATACAATAAAGGTCTAATGAAAATACATTAAAAACTGACCCAGAAAAACCAGCTGATTTAGCTACAACAGTTTAAATGTACTTTTTCTTTTTTTTTAATACTTGGTAAAGATGTGTGATTTCAGAGTTGATTTAGAATTATTTATTTATAATTAAAAAAAATTTATTGCATTGACAAAATGAATGAGAAAAATATTCCCAGCACCAACTAAGGCCACTGAATAAGCTAGCAGTCACGGTTATATTGGACTGCCTATAGATTAGATTCAGGTTCATACAAACAAATGCAGTGCAGTTCTAGTAGCATTACTAGCAATCAAGTTTTTTTAAAACTATAATTCCATCAGAAGAGATTGAGGGGACTGGACTTTCTGTTTAGGGTAGGTCATGGAATTGCATATTATATGCCAGATCAATTTCATTTTTAATTTAGGAGCTCTAACAGATGGCTTACAAATCATCCAACGGTAAATGGGTTATTTCGCAGAGCAGCCACACCTGGAAAAGCTCCTCATTAGAAAAGCATCAGTGATTTGATCAAAAGCTTTGTGCTCAAGTCACGATGCAAAATAGAAACACTGTAATTAGACGGTGGCAGTGCTCAGCAACAAAGATGAGTATGTATTATCAGGGGACGCACCCTGCTTGTTTCCATCACGTCTGCCGTAACCTCTTCATTACTACTGAACAGTCGCCACCTTTAGCAAGTCTTGATGGGTGAACCTCATGAAGAACATATCCAGGACTTAGAAAATTAAGCTTATTGTAGAATCTAAAAAAAACAATTTTTTTTTTGTTTTTTTTAAATCAGCACATTAGAATGATTTCTGGAGGATCACTGAAGACTGGAGTAATGATGCTGAAAATTCAGCTTTGCATCACAGGAATAAATTACACTTTAAAACATATTCAAACAGAAAACAGTTATTTTAAATTGTAATAATATTTCACAATATTACCATTTTTACTGTATTTTTTTGTCAAATAAATGCAGCTTTGGTGAGCAGAAGAGACTTCTTTCCAAAACATTACACAATTGAACCAGCCCCAAACTTTTGAACACTGAAAATTTGTCATATAATGAAAATTTGTGGGGAGATGATCCTGAAATTATGGCAAAATGCTAAAAGTTGGCTTTAGTCTCTTTATGCAAAATATAAGGTCATATTAACGTGACCTGGACATGTTTTGTATGTACCTCATTAAGGTACAGTTGTACCTTTCAAAATGCTCAGGCCTGAATATTTGGGACGGCCTTCGGATACATACATTTGCTAGGAAAATTTGAACACCTATTAAAAATAGCCGTTGAAACTCTCCAGTCAGTGCCTTAAGAATGTCAGATAGGAATATCCCATAAACCGAGAACATAAACTTTATTTACATAAAAACAAAGCAGCAGTGCTTCTGGGAATTTAATTTTGTTTTGTTTCATCTTTGTATGAGCATCTCCAGCTTTCTATGTTGGTGGCCTGCTACAATTCACCCCGTTTGTTCTAAAACATCCCAGCAATGCTGTCTGACTCTAGTCACAAGCAAAAAAACTGCAGAGAACATAAACCAAGCTGCACATGACAGCAATGCGGGAAAACAGCAGCAGTGTGTAACAGATAAATGCCATCTCGATTGCCCAGCATCTCCATCATCAGGGTGCAATGACCCACCAGCACCTGGTGGGCGAACCACATTTTCTTTCCATAAACATAATGAGAATTTAAACAGACATCTCCCACAACCACTTAGACACGACACCCAGGTTTCTACAGGAAGTCACACATTTACCACCTAACAAATGAACACACGTACTGTTGCAAAAGTTGTGAATTATACATATATATATATATATATATATATATATATATATATATATTGTATCTATATATATATA